AAGCATTCGATGCGACTCTGCACCACTTTTCTTCAAATGAAAACAAAAAATTAATGCTTTCCGCAAATTATCACTTTCTGATACAAAATTCGACATTTTTAACACGATGAAAAAATATGATGTTGTCTGTTCAATGACTTGATGTATACTAAATATATTTCACACATGTCATAGCAAACAAACAAAAAAAATAAAGGCTCGTTCACAACAAATGTTCCCTGTCGGAACATTTGTATCTTTACGCTCACTTCATACCGGTACACCTAATAAGTTAAATTCTTGTATTTAAAAAAGGTATTGTAAAGATGCTATAGGAGCTTAAACTTTAGGTTTTAAAATTCTTAAATTGTAAAGTAAATCTTAGCGAAAATGTGAGTTAAAAATATTTTAAGAAAAATATATTATTATAATATTTAAACATTATTTTGACCTACATTTCAATAAAATTTAATTCAATCGGGTTTAAGGTCAGTTTTTTAACACTAAAATTGGTGAAAATTTTAGCAAAAATTAAGTAAATGTTACTTATTAACAATTTGAATATTAAATAACCTATCTTAAACCAGGTTAAATTAAATTTTATTACTACACTATTATAATAAAGTATGTATTATTATAGATAAATATATATATGTCAAGGTCAGTCAATCTTCCACTTTTTATTATTATTGTTGTAATCCAGTGAGACCTAAAAAACACATATATATAAGGATAACAAAATTTTCACAATGGAACAACTTAAGAAAGGTGTTTGCTCACCTTTCCAAAACTAGGAAATTGAATAGACGAAATTTTTACATTTTAATTTTTTTGCCTGAGTGCATATAAGGAAATCAATTATCTTAATAAATAACAGTATCTTAACATATCATTCTACAATATATCAGTAGAACTCAAATTAGTCGTTTGACATGGAAATAGATGGGCGACGTCAATAGGGGTAGAACTACAAATGTAGCACACTTAGGCTTCAATAGGTGGGGTCTTGTTATGATAGCACGTGAAATGCTCATTGTAAATATATTATCCCGAATAATTGTGCCACTTTTATATAGCGGTCAATATTTCTAATGCAATGTCGGACAGACAATCGAGTTATTGGCTAACTAAAATAACGACACTTGTCTTGGCTAGAAAACTATTGTTTTGTTTTAATAAAGTGCGCAATATCTTTGGCGATTCCATTACGGATGACGTATATAAATTTAGGAAAAGATAGACCTGTAGTAGATACACACATCTGGATAGTGCCAGATAGTGGCAGAGCAGATGATCAACATTTCCTTCGTCTTCCACTGATTCACAATTTCGACTATTGTCGTTAAAGAGAGTCTTGTCCGGTCAGTAAATACGATAAATGCATATTAAAATGATTTTAACCCAATTTCAAACCTACACTCGAAAAAAGCTTATGAAGTATTTATAACTTATTTTAATTTGAAAATATATTATTCATTAAGATATTTAGCATGTACAAATTTATAATTAGATTAAGATAAAATTGTTTTTCATTCACCAAATTTAAATAAAGTCATTTTCTTATATACCTTTTTATATCCTGATTCAGATTTTTATGCTTTTCCAACTTTGACTGTAGTTGTTGCAACTTTTTCCGATTCAATTCTTTGCATTTAGCTTTTTCAACTATAGCAGTTTTAAGCTTCTGTCCCAAAGGATTAACTTTCGCTTGTGATTGTTGTAATTCGATTTTAACCGTTTCAACTAGATTAACAAGTTCAATTTGTCTATCTTTTAATTGTGGCAAAGACTGTACACCTTCCTGTAATTTTATCTGTTCGTCTTTTAACCTAAAAGTTATATGATTTATATAGTGATTTTAAGGTTTTTAAATATTTTTAAACTTTTATAATTCATACTGAAAACTTACGTATTCTTTTTTTCGCGAAGGGTATTCAAAGATTCCATTACTTTTTCGTATAAATGTTGCATATTTTCTATACTTTTTCGTTCATTTTCCAATTCTGCCGAGAGTGTAGTTTTTTCTAATTGAAGATTTTCTATAGAAACAGTATCATCTGGATTATAGTCACTCGGTAATTTAGTCTAGTAATTAGTAATATTCATTAGTAACTAGCAATTTAGTATTATATATCAAAAATAAATATCTTTTACTTTAAAATGACCAAACCTTTAATTTATGTAGTTCATCTTTAAAACGTGCAACATCCTTAATAGCTTCATCCAAAATAGTCATGTCACTTAACATTGAGTTAGCCAAATCCATTTTTGCAGTTGGTTCTGCAATTTGCTGTTGTAAAGTATCTAATTCAATAGCACATGCTGCCAATTTATCTTTAATATCATTTAACTGTTTCTTGCGTTTAGGTATATCCTTTTCTAGCTTTGCGACCTTTTCAATGACAGGCTTTAACTGCAGTAAGTTTTCGTATTTTAACTGATTTTCTTTCAAAATCTTTTCCGCTCGTCTTATATTATCTGGCAAATGTAGTATTTCATCAGATAATTCAGTAGTAAGGTCCATAGTCTTTAAAATAAAATATATTAATATTGTATTACTATAACAAGTGAGTGAAATTTACCTCGTTATTGGACATATCTTTGTGACATAATGGACAACATGGATTTTCTGATATTTTTTCGATATATCTTAAAGTACAGAATTAAAAAGATTTATTTGTTATATTAATAGATTATATATTAAATAATGTATAATTTTAGTAATGTTTTCCAACTTTATAAAATTGGCTTTAAATATTATTCGAGCTGTTGGAAGCTTACTGTAGTTGTAACCCGCTGAGACCTTTAAACAGATAACATGAAAGGATATACAAGATAATTACATGAGTGGGAAAGTGGATGGGTAGTGGTTGGGAGTGATGGAGAGGAGGAATGAGGATAAGTGGTGGATTGGATGAATGGGATTTAATTGAACATTAACCTAGATCAAGACGGAGACACCTGGCCACTTCAATGGGGTGAATCCAAAAGACAATTGCACATAGATTTGTGTGCGTTGTAGGACACACATTGGGCATAATCGTGTTTATGTGTGATAAGTAATTGTTTAGCACCTGGCTATACCCTGATCTCGATTCAGCTAGAACAGTTCTTGCTGCACGAGGGAGACGTTGCTCTTCTAGAGAGATGTTAGGCGGAGGCCTGTTGAGAACCTTGTTGTCTGACAACTTTGGTCTCGAAGAGGATACTGCATCTGTGTGGATGGTTTTAAGTCCACGTTTATATTCGACCTCACTGATATTAGCTGCAGTACAAAAAATTTCGATAAATCTATGATAGGAAGAGAGGGATCGACAATTGCATCTGTTGAAAGCTTTGATCATTTTGATGTACGTGTATTTCAAGCATTTGACTCGAGCACAATAACTTACTCGAAAATGGTGCGTTCAAGCATTTACTGTGATACATAATTGTTAAATAAAATACGAACAAATATAAAAAATATAACAGATTATTCTCGAAGATTTTTATTGAATACTTGAAGTATTCAATCTGAACGTTGCAATTCAAGTGTTCTCAAACTGCTCCAACACCGTACTGCAAATGACCCTATTTAAAAATACATTCAATATCATAAAATCAGATAATCCAAATTGCTTAAATCATATACAAAGATCAAGAGATCAACTTCTAAATTTTTAGTACTTAGATAGGAAACACACTTGGTCTAAGAAATGTGAGAAAAATTCTCATTAAAAACGCATGCAATATCTCAAAATCATATCATTCAATTTGCTTAAATTATATACCAAGACTAAGGAATCAGCTTCTCAATTTTTCTCACTTGGATAGGAAACACTATACTCATATGAACACTTTACTACATAAAAATGTTTAATTATTTTTATAATGCTTAATTTACCTTTTGTACATTGCTTCAGCTGATTTTAAGGAACCCAATTCTAATTGGTTTTTGTTGACATTTTCTTTGCATTTAGCCAATAATTCCTCAAAAGGTGTAGCATAACACTTTTCATATATAATTTCTTTATTTTCCTCAAGTTCTTTTTCAAATCGCCCTAATTCTTCCTTGACATTTTTTCGTTCAATTTCAAATGATTGATCTTTTAACTTCAAATTATTACATTTTTCATTTAAATCTTTTATATCCTGACGTAAATTTTCGTATACTTGTTGCAAAGATCGCCGAAAATTAGATTCTATAGATCTATTAAATACTTTTTTAAAATTTTCAACATGTTTATTTTTTACACGTCGTACTTCTTGTTCTCTTTTTTCCAACTCCTTTTCTTTAATAGTAATTTCTGCCATTACATTCGAAATGGAATTAAGAAAAGTTAGTTGCTCATCTATTTTTGAAAACATTCCTTGAAGTTTAGTTGCTTTTAACTTTCCATTTGCAATTTTTGCTTTTAATTCATCTTGATTATGATTTTTACAGGTACTTTTGTAGGATTCAGTTAAACGATCAACTTCAGAAGTGATTTGTTTTAAACGAGTTGCTGAAACTTCGATTTCCTCAATTTTGCGTTCAGAATCACGTTTTTCTGTTTCATGCTGCATCAATTGTTTCTTCATTGTAACTGCAGTCTCCTCTAGTTTAGTAAGATCAACACGCATTGTGTCTATATTAGTTTGAAGTTTTTGATCTTCGGTATCGTGTTTATTTGTTGTTTCAGTAATATGTCGCTGTTGATCAAGTAAGTTATTTTCTATTTTTTCTAGCACATCAGGCACACATTCAATATATTCTTCTAAGTCTGTATTTAAAGGAATTGCTAGTTCATTACATAGATCCTTCATTTTATTAGCACGTTTAGATATGCCCTCTTGTTCCTTTTGGCGTTGCTGTATTAACATGCAACGTTTTTTTTCCAAATCAATGAATTTAGTTTGCAAGTGTTTATCTTTTTGCTTAAGTTCATTTAAATTACGTTCTAAATCACTTCGTTCAGTATTTTTATCCATCATTTTTTTATCGAATAATTTCATTTCTCTTTCTATATCATCTATGTCGCCTTCAAAGATAACCTTTATTTTTTTAGTTAAATTCCCAATTTGTTCACAGCAATTTTTGTGCCTATAGAGGAGAATTCGTTAACTTTTTTTTAATAAACTTTATTATTATTATTATTATTATATTTATTATTGTCATCACTTTCGGTAAGAAAAAATTAATATTAAAAATTTATTATTTTTTTTTAAACATACTTTGTCTGAATTTCTACTTTAAGTGACTGATACTTTGCAACATCGTATTCGACTTTACGAATTTCGTTTAAACGTTGCTCAATGGGTTTAACCTCTTCATCACAAGTAGTGCATTGTTGCTTAACATCAATACATTTCTCCTCGGCTTTTTTAAGGGCCATCATTTTATTTTCCATTTCTTGCTTAAGATGTTCTAGATAGCGTAAATTCGCTTCTGCAAATTCAAACATTTTAAAATGTGTAAGCTAATTTACTTTTAAAAAACTTCTCACCATTGACTTTTAAATCCTCCATTTGTGTTTTACGCATACTAATAAACTTTTCTATTGCTTTATTGTATTCAGTTATTCCAAAAATGGCATCGAACTTCTCCTTCAATTTTTTTGCTTCATCAAGGGGCCAACTAGATTCTTCTTGATGGCAAAACAGTACATTATTAATTATCGCTTTGGATACACCTGTTTATTAACAAAAAAACAAATAAATAAGCAATGAATAAATGTTTAACGTTATCTAATACATACCCATAAACTGGCACATGCCCACATCTACATCAATGCACCGTTTACTAATAGAATCTGCAGAATGCAGATTTTCTTTGCGACCAGCACCAAGAAAATTCATTGTAGAATCAAGCGTTTCGAAAACAGGTTTTCCTCTTCGATTTGTAATTTTCATTGAGCGGCAAACTGATATACGTTCCCCACGTATATTACGTGCTTGTAATTTGATTTGACCCATAGCATCCATCAAACTAAAAATCTTTGGATCATGGACAAAATTCTTTCCACGATCACTACCTGGCGGTGGATCTCCAGTGAGAGCATATTTCAAACATTCAATGATTGTGGTTTTTCCACAACCATTTTCTCCAAGTATAAGAGTAACAGGTGATTGGAAGCATATCAACTAAACGGAGTTTATGTCAACACCCAAGCGAATTAAAACAAAAATACTTACCTGAACGTCTTCGCTATTTGCTCCAAAACTTCTTATTCCTTGAATAGAAAGTTTCTCTATGGCGGACATAATACTTGATAAAATTTAACAAAACAAAACGAAACAGAAACAACACAAATCATATAATTTCACAATTCACAAACTTTAACAAGAAAATTTGCCGGCAACAAATAAAATTCTGCCAGTACGGCCAATGCTGCCAGTAAAACAAAATTAGGTGGCCCATCCTACATTATAAATATGTAGAAATTTAGAATTATTTTTCTCAAGCAAAAAGAAAATACTTGCGTCTTCCGGAAGTATCGGCTATAAGTGAAAACTTTTTTTGAACAATAATAGACAAAACTAAATATATGGAGCTAAATTTAATAATAATGTACACCATTCAGTATTTCTCTTTTAACCCAAATTACTGACATAAGGCTCTTACTAGAATAGTTGTTTATTTGAATTCATCGCAGAAATTATATTTTCTTTGCATTATAAAATATAATTTATAATATTAATAAAAGTAGTATTAAAGATTTCGAAACTAGTTGGTCATCTCAATTTTAAAAGAATATCCAATATATAATCTAATAGTAATAAAAAAATGTTTCGAAAACATATCTTCTGAACTAACCATTTAATAAACCGTATTGTTATTTCTATTTTTAGACTATCTTATTCCTGTGAGTTTAAATTACATTACTTCATATGGCTCATATGGATAAAGCACACTGAATTAGTTTTTGAGTGCAATGAATAAATTCTGTACATTAACTTGTATAAACCTGTATCATAAATTCTAGCAAATTGATTGTATGTAACGGACTGTTCACACCCACAAATTTTTTTCGTTCTAATACGATTTGACTTAACGAATCACGTTTGTTTGACAGTGTAGTAAATTTGTTTCATTTATGAAATAAGCAAAACGCAGGGTTGCAAATGAAATTTATGTGTTTTATATGGCTGGCCCCAAAGAATCATTTCAAATCAGTAATTTCAAAGTGTTGACATTAGTTGTTATTCATTTGTTCTCATTTCACCTAGAAGTTGGTAGTTAAGCACCTTCTGCAACTTTTTAAAGTTTACTTTTTGCAACTACATTCTGTAGCTATACAGAATACAGCGTTCTGTACGACTCAACGTTATTTCTTTGATATGACGTCTATTGCAGTGTAGTTAATTATAGAAGCAATGTTTACGCGAAGAATAGCGACCTACGATCAGGAGGCACTCGTCTAAGTGTTTACGATCAAAGTTTCAACGCTTACAAAGAAGACGATCAGCAACAACATGAATCAATTAGGTCATCACTTCTGCTAGATTTCTGTTAAAATAACTGGTAGCTACCAAATATAGTAATTATTACCTTTCCTCTGTTTGTTGTACACCGCAGTCACGAGCCGAAAATATTAGTATTAAGTCCACATCTATATCAATTCTTTTGTCACAAAAGCAAGACATGTTCGTATCAGCAAGTTGGCTCTATTAGCTAATACCTCTTTAATAAATTTCAGTTATTGTTACTTATCTTCTTGTTGATATGCACCGAGGTCTCACGAAGAAAATGTAAGTTTTAAGTCTATATGTACATTGATTTTTTGGTCACTAAAGCAAAATGTATTCGTTTATATATATATATTCTATTTACATGATACATGATTTAAATTTATTTAATAATACTTAAATAATTCAATATTTGATCTTTATCGGATTATTATATTTTTTATTTAAATTTTTCATTACAGTGGTTATTCATACATATTTATAATTGTATTGTTACATTTAATATATATATATATATTAAATGTATACTTCATTTAATATATATTTATATATTTTTAAATCTTAAAGTTTATTCTAATGACGAAATTTATCTCTTTGTGGGTTTTATTTAATTATTTTTCAGCAAATTGAAATCAAATTCTATTTATCAATTTATTAAATGAAACTTAAAAAGATAAAATTTAAATTTTATATGTTTTAAATACATATGTCATAAAAAAACAATAACAAAAAGTAACATATATATATATATAACTAAAACATAATTTTTTTTAGTTAAATAATTAAATTAGTAAAAAATACAGAAAAAATATTATTAACTACGAGTCTTGCGATACCGCTATATTTTCAATAATTATAAAATCATATTTATTAATTTGGTTGACGTTAACTGTTATTTTATTTATATATATATCCTTTTTTTCGTTAATTAACAATTATTTGTTTTTTGACAGTGTTTAATTTATTTATTAACAGTAACAATTTTTATGATATCATAAATAATTTATTACATTCGTATTATACCAATTATACATATTGTGAGATTATTTTATATTTATATTTTGTATATCTATTATAGGTAAATTTTTAAAGTTGTTTACATTGTGACTCAAATAGTGTTTTATATATGAATTTAAAATATAAACCATAAGAAAAAAATAGGATTAATAAAAAATTAACAAATTGTGTTGTGTGTAACCTAAAACTAATTTATAATAGAATATACTTTATAATATTATATAATAAAAAAAAAATTAAACAAAACTTCTAACCTCAATGGTTAAATTTAGAGGTGGTACGATATTTCTTTCACAATATATAATATATTGAATTATTTTTTGACAAAACTTGTAAAATATGTGAAAAACAATTATGGCAAAGAGAGCAGCAAAAACAATGATTAATCAATGAATTGGGAAGGCAAATTCTTTTTTTAATTTTTAATGACTTTATATGGCAAACTGGAACGATATCTTAAGTTAGGTGCAGCACCTGAACCACCAGCAGATCCAACCCCACCACTTAAGGCATTGTTCGTCATCATGCCACTATTCATTCCAGAGCCACGCCCACTAAAGTTAACTGTATTTAAAACCATACCCGATGGTGATGCACCTACAATAGCCTGAGGTGGCAATGCAGAATGCATTGGATTTGGACGCTGACCAGCTACAATACAACAAAAATGATGTATAATAGAACATATTGAAAGAAAATAAACCTCAGAGAACACTTAAGACCGGTTTCACAGTCATTGTTAACTAAACCATTTTTTTATCTTCACACTCGATATTCTTAGTGCAACATATGCGCGAAGAAAACGTGAGAAGTTAATGCGTTTAATAGATGTTCTTACAGTAGGAGCATTATCCTTTCAAAATTATGCGTTTTGTTTTATCTGAGGAAAAACGTTATAAACATCGAAACTCATTTGCCCTCTTTAATAAAATAAAAATCAAAAAAATTAAACAACTGGAACCGAAAAAATAAATACAATATAATAAGCAAAATAATTAGATATTATGGTTATTTTAGTAAAGTGAACGTAAATTGTATTTTATAAACTTTTTTCATTTTTATTTTAGTACTCAACTATTAAGTATATATTATTTATTATAACGTGTAATATATTAAATGCAACAACAAATTTTTATTGACAAAATTTTAGCATGTATTAATTAAATGCCTATTCAAGTGCAACTTAAGTAAGCGCTATAAGATAAAACCGAGTTTTTAATATTTAACGTAGTCGATTGTACTTAAGTCACAACTGTGAAACCGGACCCTAATGCGTATAATGCTTACCTGGCACATAAGGTTTTTGCTGCACAAAAGCATTATTATGTGAACGATAATAGACTGGCTCTTCGTTGTGGTGATAGAGCTGCGATTGTGGTTGATATTTTGGTCTAAAAACAAAATATTTTTATTTTCTTATAATTGTAATTTAAAACCAATACATCTAATGCAAGAGCAAAATTTACTAAATATATATAAAGTATAATAGTTTTAATCAATATATCATATACATATATAAAATATAGAACCCTTCTTAAAATATTTAATAAAAATAAATAAAACATATATAACTATATGATATGTTCCCGCCCACTTCGTTCTCTCTGATAAATAAATATGTTCTATTACAACAGGAATACACAAACCTCTTAAGCTTATAGTTATATTATGGATACTTTTGTTCGCAGAAAAGAAATACTTCATCAACAGTAATCAAGATAAAAAAATAATTTGAAAAAGTTTTTAGGAAAGTTAGAAAAGTTAATAATGACTTATTTATTGTATATTTTATCAAAAAGTTTCATTAAAATTTTTCAAAAATATCACAAAAATGTTTGTTTAAACCAAAATTAAATATTATTATAAAAAACTACTTTTGAAACTTAAGTATGTAAAATGTATTATATGTATGTATTATATAATAAAAATAAATCGTAGAAAATCATATAGTCATTACAGATAATGTATATATTAAAAGAAATAATTCATCCCAAATAACAAATAAAAATATAAATAACATATAATAAATATACATATAATAAATAAATATATTTATAATAAATAAATATATATATATAATAAATAAATATATATACAATAAATAAATATAAATAACATATAATAAGTATCCGACAGTCGGCGAAAATGTCATAGCTATAAGCTTTATATATATAATACAATTGTTATAAATTTCTATGTAATATAACATATTTAAAATGAAGTAAAATAATGCTAAAATACTAGTATATAATAAATATAATATAATAAATGTAAATAATAAATATAAATAACATATATATAAAGATTATATTCTGAATATAAGAGTATGATAAATAATAACAATATATAAGTATAAAAATATTACATATAAACAATATTTAAATATCCTATATTGAAATAATTTTTTAAACTATTACATATTTGTAATGATTTAAAAATTGAAAAAAAATAATTCTAGACAAAATATTTATTATATAATAATTGATTCTAAAGATTTTTAAGAAAAAGTTTAATATTATTTATATACTTATACAACTAAATAAAATTTCTATAACATACCTATAAGGCCCTCCTCCCCCAGAACCACGATTTGAATTAACACCTGCATTCGATAACTGCTGCTGCTGTTGTTGTTGCTGTTGTTGTCGAATAGTGATTTTTTTAGCTGCCTCTGGATCTTCCATTAATTCTCGAAATTGCTCCTGCCTAATATCATCATGTTTATCAGGAATTAAATAACGTCTAATTTCAGCTAGAGCATATGCGACACGTGCATAAGCTTCTGCAGGTGCTGCTATCGTTGATACTTCAACATGAAGAGGTAAATTAAGGTGGGCATATTTAATATCAGAAGAATTGCGCAATTCCTCTTCACGTGCACGATCCTTCATCGAAAAACGTCCAAGTATTACTATTTTACACTGAGTTTCTTCTTGTAGGCGACGCAATGAATTTCCCTTAGGACCCAACAGCTTTCCCACATAATTAAACTATAAAAATCAAATATTTATTTATATTAATTAAATATATATTAACTAGTATTTATTTATATTTTACTAACTTTTTTATCTTTAATAGGCACATGCACTTTTTGTGACAATTTAATAGTGCGTTGCTGATAAACATCAGCGTATTGTTCTCTTGCCGGAAGTCGTCCGTTCAATTGAACTCGTTCCAGTGCTAAGATTTTCAATAAATATTTATACAATTAAATTGTTTTTGTTCAGCTTACCTTCATCGATAAGTTTCACTGCTAATGGAAAATGATTTTCCATCCTAGCTCTTTCTGACATTAAATCCTGTATGTATTTTTGAGCTGCTTCATTTAACCGAGTTGGTGTTTTACCATTTTCAGTCGACAAATCATGATCATTATGACCATTGGTATAATCACCGTCGGCCGAGCTGCCGGCAGCATTTGCTGCTCCAATACGCATTCCATTTTCCGCCATTTAACAATAATTATTTTATAAAAATTCACAGTATAATTTTGCACAGAAGTTCTTTTTATTTTTAATATTAGTGCTGTTTCCCTTGTATAATTTAATTATAAAGGAGAAATATCAGAAAATATGCTGCATAAACTTTTTCTTTCTTGCTTTTAAGATTTTTTTCCATACGTCGGCGAAAATAAATGACAGTTGCCGATTATTCGCCTGAATACTAGATGAAGTTCTTATCCAAAATAATTAGAATCAAAATACGACCAACAGTGTTGCATTTTTATACATAGATTTTTTTTGCACATAGATTTTTATACATAGTGTGCATTTCTTTTAATAATTAAAACATATAATATGTTTCGTTCACATACTGTATAGAATCTAATTCATTCCACACTCAAACTAATTTAATATATATTCAATAATCTTTTAATTCAAGTTCAATACAATATTAAGCTACAACCTTTATTATGCAATTGCAATAATTATGATATCATGTTCATCATGATAAATGTCATCATATATATTATTTATAGTAATATATATCATTTTTTATGATACAAGATCCAGCTTAAGTATATGTATTTTTAAAATATGTAGTTACATATATGTATATTCCGCAATTACTCATTGCAATTAATGCAATATTCGCTACAGTAATTTTTAATAATATTTCTATTATTTTAATTTTTTATTTATATTTAGTTCGACAAAATTAGATTTAATATCAAATAAATATTTATGAATTTAATTTTAATTCTTTTTTGATTACAATCAAAAATAAACACTAGTATCTTAATGTCAATTTTATACTAAAACATCCATGTTTTAATCCATGAAGTTCTAATTAATAAAAATTCGACTAAAACTTATTTACATTATTTCAAATAATCTTTTTTATCATTAAACGTTATAGCAAATATTTACGATTGGTTAAATAATTTGCTAATAAAATATTACAGATTATTAGAGCTAAAAATTTTGCTCTTATTTTAGAATTTTTGTTCTAAATTTTATCTTTTAATATTGTCCTATACTATATTATATTAAAGTTCAAAAATTTTAATGTACAGTAATTATATTTCTAATGTTTCTAATTATACTTATCGGTGTTGAGAATTATATTAAAAAAATATTGAACGCTCAGGAAAATTTGAAACTTCAAGAGTACCAGAACAACAATAAATATACTTTCCAGTTGAAAAAGAACAATTATCCACTGATTGGCGTTAACTAGAAAGTATACAGTTTGTCATATTGTTAATCGGTTCAAGGATTAAAAAATTATTATTATTTAAATTCAGCAGAAAAAATGTCTGCTCAAATGTTACTACAATCAACCTACCACATCTTGCGATACTTTTATGAACTTTAAATTTTTAAATTTGAAAATTTGACAGCCATACAAAATTGACTGATTTATGAAACAGATGTGTATGAGTTGTATCAAAATGTAGCAAAGCATTTGTATGAAAAATTTACGCACACCATCAACACTGGCAACGCTTGCTCAGATACATACATACATTTTCCGATATATCATTTTTCAGTAATTTCTGTTAGAAAATTTGGTGTTTGATTAAGATATTAGTAAATAATTTAATAAGAGAAATAAAAAAGTACAAGTCAATAAAATGCCACGTGAATATGATAGAGACTATAGTGAAGATACTAGCGATTACAAAAGAAAACGTCGTGCCGATGATGATGTTAGTGGCGGGGGTGGCGATGGTGACGTTGATGGCAACCAGGAACACCAATCTAACCACACCCAAGGATTACACGATGCACCGCAATTAAATGAAAAAACAAGTGCCTATTTGGATGAATGCTTACAAGAGAAAAAATCCTTGGAAAAATATCCAGTATGCAAGCGGCTTATGGATGATGGTATATTAAACACAGTTATACTTTTACACAGTTTTAATTTACAACACATATCATACTATCTTTTTAGAAGTGGAAAAAATACTTGTTAGTGGACGTATACCAAAGCCTGAAATCTATGCGAACGTATATAATGAAAAACCTATTAGAGTTGCACAGAAAGTATTATTTCCTATTAAAGAATATCCAAAATTTAACTTTGTTGGAAAAATACTCGGCCCAAAGGGTAACACACTTCGGCAACTCCAAGAGGAAACATTTTGTAAAATGGTTGTTATGGGTCGTAATTCTATGAGGGATCATGCTAAAGAAGAAGAACTTCGCAGTTCAGGAAATCCCAAATATGCACATTTAAGTCGGGACTTACATGTTGAGATTTCAACTGTAGCACCTCCTTCTGAAGCATATCACCGGATAGCATATGCTTTAGCAGAAATACGTAAATTTATGATTCCCGATGCTAACGACGATATTCGCATGGAACAGATGCGCGAAATGGATGCAAAGGAACGCATGTACAAAAAATCTCATTATGCCAAAACATATGGCGAGCACGGTTCCTATAGTAACCGGTAAGATATTAACATAGTAATATAATTATAAATCATAGAGTGGAGTTGGTAAAACTGGATGAATTGCATCATTGTCTGTCCGTCCCCGCATTCTTCAACACCCAGGCAGTCCAATGATTCTAATGACCACAAAAAAACAAATTTCTCTCACAGAACTTTTCCCTTAAACACATCTAATCCTTATATAGATGATATCCTCTTTAAAATTAAACTACTAAGTAAGCATAACTTTGTTTAAGTCAATACTTACTTATTACAAGAGTAGCAACATAATCAGCACAGCCCCGAATGATCGTTCTTGCGATAGATTTTCTAACGAAGGTGATAGTTATTTAATTTATATTGATTTTTCCTTTTCATGATAGTTTCCTTTCTTATGAGGAAACTTATATCATAGTCAAAATTTTCTTAAAAGACCTTGAAAACTATCTCATATGTGGTCATTTTATCGTTCTAATTCTCAAGATTTCATTAGTTATTTCATGCGAGAAATATATACCAGAAAAAATAGTTTGGCTACTTGGAACATATGAATAAACAGAATTCTTTTTTTATTGTTTAAAACGTTTGTTTTTGATTTATTCATTCTTTTGATGTGCTAACCAGTAATTCCGCATTTCTGTAATACATTGGTTTGAGTGCACGAGGTAGAAGATATTACTCTTTTATGTGTGCTTTTAAGTATGACAATTTGCATTCCCTTTGAGGTACTAATATAAAGAGGGAATGTAAAATGAGTCATCATATTTCAAAGAAACAGCCAATACTCTTAAATTCACTTTTTATTTTCTTTTATAAAAAAAATTGCATATACTTTTTATAAGTGAACTGTCAACGTAGATAAGGGTTGATATCAAACTTTCAATATTTTGCATTTGATAGCGAAAAAAATTAAATCAAAATTTATCGCAATATGTTTATAGGGTAGGTATACGTAGCAGCTTCCCTTATATAAATAAGATCGATTCACTTAGACACGAGAATTTGGCCTATTCTGATTAATAATTTATAATTATTAATGATGGCGTACATTTTCTAGTTTTATATAATTCTTGTGTGCTCTAGCTAGACAGAAATATGAAGAAAAAATTTTTTTATCATATGTATCCACTTAGCATAACAGCTGAACTAAAAATAAATTGCTTATTATCTAGAAAAGGCAATATTAGTTTTCTATTTTTCTATTCTTTTTCATCAGTCGGATAGTTCGATTAAATCGAACTACAGTAGCAAAGCTAGTCAACATCCAGACTATTAGAAGATTTGTTCATGTTGTTTTTCTTGTTGTTGTAACTCGCAAGGATCTGCATAATTCTTTTACGATGTGGCGAACGGCACTTAGTCGTCGAAGTCGACAAGTGGCATCAGGGCGTAAACACTGTCATTTTTGTGGACTATTTGTTCATTGAACTATCTGTATCTTTAGCGTATTTAAAAAATTTGATATATATTTAAATAAAAACGGCACTGTCACAGAGGCTTTGTACACCTTTATAAGTTTTTTTCTTACATTTTTTTTATTTTATTATTATTGGAATATAAATAAAAAAAAATTTTGGAATCTTACTGTTTTTTCTGGACACGCACAGAGTACTTAATATGTAAAATGTTTTGTAACATTTAAAATGTTTGTATAGACATTTTTAGACTTTTATTAATATTGGAGTGAACTATCGTCTATATTTGATTATGATCAAATTACAATAAAAGTAGTATGTTCGAAATTCAAAACCGCTCCAACTAAGTTAAGCACTGTATTCTTGTATGAGTAGAAGATGTTTCCATAATCAACATGAAATGACTTTATTAAATGAAGTTGAGAAAGTCTTTAAACTACGAATATTTAAAAAAGCGAACAACTACTAACTACGATAAAGAAAAAAATAATATCTCTTATGACTAGATTTTAAATGTTAGTGTATATAAAATCTATATATACCATACACCATTAATACAAATTAGAAATAACAATATACACTGTGTCTGTGTTTTCAATATTTTTTCAAGCATATATTATTCTTAATATAAATCAATCATTTGTATAAAATATATTACAGAACACCACCACCATCAATATATGATAAAGGTGCTAAACCAAAAGTTTATTCAATTTTGGAAAAAGCACGTTATGTTATGGAAGATCCTGCTTATGGAATGGTAAAATCACACAGGTTTGAATATTTAAAAAATTATTTATATATAAAAAACTAAACATAAAAACATTGTCTAGATCTCGCGAGCACGACCATTTATATGAGCATCCCAGCGAATACGATAGGTATGGAACACCACCACCACCACCATCTTCTAAACATGCAAGTGGTCATCATGCACCATATGACAGTGGTTCATATGAACGTGAATATAGACGTGAATATCATGCGCATTCATCATCATATGCTGCAGCAGCTTATGCAGGTAATTTATTACATATTTAAATGATTCAAATAAAACTACATATATACCAAAATGGAATTGCATGTAGTTGCTGTATATAATATAAAATTTTGATATCTGTGATATTTTATAAAAGATATTTTCATTTCACTATCGTTGATAGTTAAATAAGTACACTGCTAAAATATACTTAATGTTGTTTATATATATGTTAATATATACAATTCATTTAAAAGAAAACAACAAAAACTACATCTCTTGTCCATTATGGTATACATGGTTAAGTCTTTCATTTACAATAACTAAAATAAGATTTTTTTATTTGTAAAAATCGTCGAAATGAGTATGGAAATGGAATATTACTTTTGAAAAACGCAAAACTTTAAAAAAGTTTGAAAAAAAAATTAATTTATTTACATCGGTCTAAAATATATTTTCAACACTCTCAAAAATCTCTATAAAACATATAAAAACAAAAAAAAAACTTCTAGTTTAGAAAAGTTTAAACAAAAACTTTGATAAATGCTTTAATTAACGTTCGAGAATCGATGGTTAAATAATTAAATGATTTACAATAATTAAAAATCAAAAATATATAAAACAATCTATACAGGAAATTTAATCACATTAAAGCAAAATTTGTATGATCTCAAAAAAAAAAGAAATTAAAAAATATCAAAACTAATACCAAAACTAATTAAACAAATGAATAAAAAATTATTTTATGATTTTTGATTTTTGAAATAATTCATTAAAGCTTAAATTTGATTTAATTAAAAAAGCGTTCATTGAAGTCAACTTCTGCATTTCACAAAAAGTTAAATAAAAGTAAAATAATGAAACTGAGACCGTCTTCTGTGATAGTAATATATATTTTTTAATCTCAAATCCTTCAAAAGCAAGTAATTATAGATACTTTACCAATGTATAAAATTGTTGATTTTTTTTATAATGACAAAATTTCAATCAAACACAATGGTAAAAAAATAACGAAAACATATAAAAATGTAAGTAACAAAAAAAACTTTCTTCAACTTAGCCAAACCTAGCAATGGTCGCTCATCATCTTACCGACCAGCAGCATCTGGATCCCATTCATCTTCACACTATGATACAGGATCACGTTCCCGTGAAAGTGTTCGCTATCGTACGGCTCCATATCCGAAAATTCGTTAAAAATTTATAAACACTGATGACAAAGATATATTGAAATTAAAGGAATCGTCTTAATTAGTATAACTACAACATTTAAAACTAAAAAGTTATAAATACTAAACTAAACTAAACGTACATATTTAAAAAAACAAAAAAAAAAAATTAGAAACACACAAAAGAAAAAACACAGAATATGTATAAAAGTTTACATATAAAATATTCGATATCGTTTATTCACAAATTAATACAGTCATTAATTACATAAACTCACAATTAATGGAACGGTAAAATATTATATTAAGAAAACTGAAAGCAGTAAATTAAATGAAAGTAATTAATTAATTAATTAATTAAATAAAAATAAAACTGGTATTAAACTTACAGCTTATAAGTACCAAATAAAAAATAGGAATAAATTGCGACTGAATTTCCATCAGTCGTTTTACAAATATAAGCCAAAAACACAATGGCGGAAAAAATTAAAGTGTGTACTTTCTGATCACACCTATTAAGATAAATTAATATATTTAATATTTAATGGCTAATAATAATTTAAAAACTTTTAAGAGTAGAGTGAAAAAAAAACAAATTTTTGCAGTAACTAAATCAACTCATTTAATTCTATTTAAACGCAATTGCTTACCTACATTGATCGCGTCATATGTTAAAATTTATACACAAATAAATATATATATATACATATATATTTATTAATTTATTAATTAATATATCTGCACATACGGAAAAAATTTCATTAAGATATGAGATACTTAGATTCTTGAGATGAGATATATTGGGTTAATTCAGTCTTAGTATTGATTTCCTTTGTTATTGTGTTATGTATTTAAAAAATAATATGAAGTTAAAAAAGATACATATATTTTGAGAATAAATCTAAAACAGAGTCTCTATTTTGAGAATGAATCTATAACAGAGAGTCTCTTTTTTGCGAATCTCTTTAACTCTACTATTACGCTCTCATTAAAAACTAAGCATTTGATTTTACAATGTTAAACAAAAGTACGTATATTATTCACAAGCTACATGCTTATATATTTCAAATGTGACCCATTAGTTCGTATTAAAAACTTAGCATTGTTGGTTTTACTGTTATATACATGTAAACAATTTGAATATAAATAAGCTATTCCTATTTTTCAAATCAGATATATGAGGTCACACATTATCTATTTTTATTTTATATATACATATATTTAAAATAATATGATGAAGTGATAAACAATAATTCAGTCAAGGCGAGTCAAGAGAGTTATTACGAAGAAACCTCGCAGTTAATAGAGAATAAAAGTGCTCAAGTGCACTGACTCAACTAGCCTCAACATAATAATACACAAGGTGAATATATTTCTAAAATGAGATCTCTGTCTCTCTCTCTCTCTCTTTCTCTCTCTCTTTCTCTCTCTTTCATTAACTTTCATTAAACTATTATGTACATGTAAAATAATATGAAATTCATATAATCCATTTAACCTAGCACACATAAGTCCTTGACATTAGAAGCGACAAATTAATCAACAAATACTTTTCTCGCAAATTTGAAAGTAACATTGGTTCAGTTTATGGATCTAAATTCATTGTTAATTTTGATAACTAGTGTATCTCTTCTCTGGACGTATCTCAAAGAATATGATCCTCTATATGTGCGTTTCAAAACTCCATTCTAAATGAACATCATTAAACAAAAAATATAGCGGAACAAAAAAAAATCACAACATTTAATCAATTTTAAAACAATAAATTATTTTATATCTAGCAATATCAAACATTCTAAAGAAATATATTAATATTCGTTGGACATTTTAATTTATGCAACATTTTTCGATTTAATTAATTGTATTTATAAAACATTTTAAAAAATATAAAGTGAAAAGCGTCAAAATCTATTTGTTCATAAAAAAGAATTTAATTAAAGTTATATTTCCTCTGCTTAAATAAAACCAAAACAAAAGAAATTGTTAAGTAACGTATATACAAATTAAATAAAAAAAAAACTATTTTCAACAATATATATAATTAAACAAATGTTAAGTATAATTTTAAAAAACAATTATGACATATGCGAAAACTTAAAAATAATTAAAAATTTTATTATTTAATTAAAATCAAGGAACGGTTAAACAGCAAATACGTAAGTAAAACATAGAACTATAAGAAAATTAATATGAATTGGTATTTGTAAACATAATTATTTTGTAAAAATATATTATATAAATTTAAATTTAATAAATAAATTTATACTTAACGCCTAAATGTTTGTCTTTTATTTATACATGTATATATATATTCATAATTAAGGTTTAATAGATTTAGAGCGGTGATCGACGCTATATATATGTGCAAATCACTATAATAAATTTTTTAAAATTTATATAAAAATCATTTCTAACCATAGAATTTTATAACAGTGACATTTAAAACATTTTATATACGTTCAAGTTATAAAAAAAGTCAATTTAAACTTATTTTTCTTTTTTTTAATTAGACTCCATAGCATTTTCCAATCCATAAATTTTTGTAAATTGTTTTTAGTTTGTTCTCCAATTCCTTCATTTTCATTTTTTTAAATTCATTTCAATTATTTAGTTCAATAATACTTAGTCCATTTCTCATGGGCCATTTTAGATGACTATGCTTAGCTTATGAGTAACTATGGACTAGGATTTTGCCACTGCTACTATATAGCAACGACAATATAAAAAAAAATTGAACAATGATTATATTGCATATAGGTTAAGCATCCAACCTATCAAGTTGGAGTATTAGCTTGGTATTAAGTCAAGAAACATTTTAATTTTTAAATCCGAAATCTAATAAATGTTTAATAAGGCTATCTTATAGTGAAAATAGTTACAATTAACACAATCAATCATTATAAGTTTGCATGGGATTAATGGAAAATGAAATGTAAAGCAAAAGACAGCACATTATTCTTAAATTTAGAAAAATGTCTTTGAAAGTTATTTATAAATTTATAATATTTAATTCATTCCAATTATGGTATAATTCTAATTCATGTAATTCTAACCTTGGTTTTGATAGTTTTAGTACTGTACTGAACAGCCAGATTGTACTGGACTCATTTCGATAGGTAGCTGGCGTACTCTAAACCTAGATCCTAGATGAATCTACTGAACTGCCACTAGCATGTATCTATCAAGAGTTTATGCATAAATGTGTGTCTTTTATGATGAACATAAAAATCTATATAAGATAATAAAATTAAAGAGTGGTCGTGCTGTTAATACTATACCTATATATACAATTTTATTATATTTATTTATACAAACATATTAAAGTTAAATTTTATTAAAATCGAATACAATATTTATAATTGTTAACCGCATACCTATCCGTCATATTGATTTGAATTTAAGGCTCAATACATGTGTTTTTGACTGAGTTTTATAAGTACCCATATTTGTTTCTTAAAACTATGATCGATACGATGCACCATCTTGACTATTTTATTAGTTATAGAAGTAGCATAATTTTATGCAAATCGAATTTTTAAAGTGAGATCTAAACATACTAAATTTAAAACTTTATGTAAATTAAAAATAATGTATTTGTTTCAGTCACTCATAGTTGAAATTTATATTACTCTTTAAAAAATTAACAATAGTAAAGCTATATTAATCAATAGTAAAGCTAAATTAACAAACAATAGTTGTTATTGCTGTCTAGTCCATCGCACCATCTAAAAATATGAGACTGTCTACAGAAGATACTGCAAGGTTAACATCGCGTTTCTGTACAGTCTTCTTTTTTGATTGTGCTGTAAATGTGTATGCACTACGAGCAAGAGATTCAATAAACAATTCTGTAGCTCGGGTAACAATAAAAACAGCTTCCTGTGAGGCGAGATTCATATCAGGATCTAACTTCATCAGATTTCGAATACGTGACATAGGCAACTGAAACAATTTATTATATTCTGGCTCAACAGATTTCGTGTCATTCGGTTTATCTAAATATTTTTATTTATAAAATTTACTTATAAAATTCACTTTAATTTATTAATTATTAATACCTTTGTCATTAATTTTTTCAGAGTTATTCTCGGCTTCCGAAGTTACTAAATTAATCTCCTCCTCAATAGTGTCAATGTTATCATCAGAGTTATTGTTTTCTGTTTGCTTGGATTCATCATCCTCTCCGCCAGTTTCTAATACTGCTTCGGTTTCTTCATCTAGCGTATCCGCGTCCATCCCTTTACTTTCTGTTGATATTGTATCAACAAAATCTTCACTATCCATTTTTAGTTTTATTAAAAGCAAGTGCGCCAAACTGCAACTATACGCAGCCTTACCTTACGCAAATATTTAAAAACAAAAACCTTAGAGATGCCACACTTAAAAAATATTTTAAAAATACTTATTGAACAGAATGACAGTGGCTAATAGCAACAGGTGTTACCACAGTGTATTTAGGCTGTGTGCGAGTTCAAGTAAATTGATGAAAATAGTAAATTATGGCAGCGACTGTTGGTACTTAGCAGAATTTCGAGATAAATTAGATTAAAATTAGGTAAATTGTGTGTTACCATTGTGAAAATTTTATAAGATGTTTAATTAATAAATAAATAAATTTGAAAACTTTTGACCAAAAATAATTAACAAATGCAATAAATAAATATTTTCATAAGTGTAGTGCAAAAAATCCCAAAGAAAATTTAAATTTACTCGCACATGGCCTTAATCATAAATTTTGTGGCATATGGAAGGGTAAAATGTACAAATTAGAAAATAATTGCATTCAGCTTATGCTGAAAACAATATGTCAAAAACAAAAATCAATCAAAAAGGAATATAACAGCGTAATATAATATAACATGTTAACACTTCGTAATTATTCAAAATAAGTCAGCATTTTTTTCTCTGAAAATTTTGACTGTTCATGCCGCTGCGATTAATTTGAAAAATATACAACAATATGTGACACCTTTGTATAAAAAATCCATGAATATAGTATAATTTTCATAAATTAGCGAATAGAAAAAAAAACAAAACAATAAGGGTATTCACTCTGTCTTGCAAAGTCATTGCAAGGTGCACGAAATGTAAAAATGCTATATTAAAATTGCAGGAGTGCGAGAAGATCTCTGTTGCAGAATTGTAACATCAAAATAAAACAGCTGTTTTTTCAGCCTACCACATTCACATCAGAAGCAACAGATGTCAAAACAGCTATTTTTACTTTTCTTGTTGCGTTGCAAATATATAAACATGGGTTTATATATAGCAAGATTGCAAACAATTGCATGAAACTTTCTCGCCCATTGCAATTTGTACATTTCGTTCACCTGGCAATGAATTTGCAAGAAAGAGTGAATATCCCTAATATATTTTGAAGTAATAAACTAGAACATTTTGTTTGGAAATATGATTAATAACTTTACAGTTAACGCGTACATTTTAAGTATGTTTATTGCAATAGTATTGTATTATTAAATATATCTCAAAATAATTGTATATAAAACAACTATAGTATGAAAATATTCTATAGTATAGTTGTATAAATTGCAAAAATTAAATACTAATTATAAAATACTATCTATATATTCCTATTTATATTAATCAGTTTAAAATATAAAATATAATAAAATGTTTTATTCAAATGAATAATGTAGAAAAAAATGGCGATTGCATGACGTATTTTATTTTCTATTTTGTTCCCATATCAACACATGCTGAGTAAGCGTAGCAAATATATAAAGCCTTATATGTGCTCTTCTTTCACGTTTATAATAATAGGTATTGTATTCCCGCTTCTTGTTTAGAGCTAGTGAAGCAAATAAGTTTGGAAATATTAATTATTTATTTGGTTGCTGTTAATTTACAGTAAGAAAGTTGTTATGTTGAAATTGAATCGTGTAGAAGAACAGATAATGGATGAAGCAAGATTTGCCGAACATCAGCAACCAAAAATTAATGAAGTGGCACAAAAGTTTTTAAATGACTTGGAAGAGGAACGTCAACGTTTGGAAGATTCTTTTCCGCTTTGTAAATTTTTAATTGATGAAGGTAAGCCAATTCGATGGAAATGTACATAAGCCAAAAACAAATATATACGTATTTCATGTAGGTATTAATAATTCAAAAAACAATATTTATTTTATTGTTAGTAATGAGCTGAAAATCGTTGAAAACATATAGATTACCTTATATATAACAACAATATATAAAATTGTTATATATAATAACAATTTTTTCAAATTGTGGTTTTAAAACGTTGTAAATATATATTTTATTAGTATATTTTTACTATATTAATTAATTTGTAAAATTTTCGATAAAAAGTACAATGGTAAGATTAGCGTAGAAGGATATGAATAATATATTATACATTACTGTAGTATATTATACTTTAATTGGTTTCTTAATATTTTTAATAATTTAGCGTTCGACAAGGTGTATTCTACAGGTCGCATTCCTGGTAAAGAATATTATGCTGACGTGTATAAGCAAAAACCGCTTAAAATTAGTCAAAAAGTTTTTGTGCCAGTTAAGCAATATCCAAAGGTAAGAATCAAACATACAGTTATAATTGTTGAATATTTAAAAATATAATTTATATTTATTTTCAGTTTAACTTCAGTGGAAAAATTTTGGGTCCAAAAGGAAATTCTTTAAGGCGCCTGCAGGAAGAGACTCAATGTAAAATTGCTATTAAAGGCCGTAATTCGATGCGCGATCGGAATAAAGAAGAGGAATTGCGTAACTCCGGTGATCCAAGATTTTCCCATTTAAATAGAAATTTGTTTCTAGAAATATCTACTATTTCGAGCCCTGCAGAAAGTTACGCTCGTATTGCATATGCTCTGGCAGAAATACGTAAATATATAGTTCCAGATAAGAATGATGAGGTTTCTCATGAACAATTTCGAGAACTAATGGAAATTGATCCTCAGTCAATCAAGCAGTTAAATGGTGCTCATCCATATGTGAACAAGTAAATATTTTAAAATATATTATGTGGTTATGAAATTTTTATTTTGTTCTATTAGATCTTTTCTTGAAAATAAACTATCAGGCGGGCCTAGTGGTGCACCAAAGTACATGAATTTGCTTCGAAATATATCATATCAAATTCACGCTCCTGAGTAAGTTTTATCACAATTTCAAGTCATAATTTTACTTACAATTTTGACCTTCAATTAAGTCGTATTCTATTAAATTTTTAATTTTTTTTTTAACATTAACATTAAAACAATTTTAATATTCCAACGAAATTTTAATTAAAGAGCAATTATTAAATATATAGTCAAACAATAAAAATTAATTATCGATATTTAAATTTTATTTGTAGAACTGAAGAAGCAGTAGAACCAGTCTATAATGCTCGTATACAAAATCGCCCAGCTCAGTCAGTTTATGGTTACTCTAAAGGTATATTAGTGTTTAGTAACATCTTTTGAAATAAATATTGTATTATTAACGTCAAATGTTTAAGCCATTCAAATAATTATGAGTAAAGCCACTCATAGTAATAGAAATTTTATTTTATAGCTAGGGCTTCAGTACCAGCGGGCTTCAAACGTCAACAAGTTGGTCCATATACCACCGATGTAAAACGTTTTCGTGAAACACCTATAAAATCTTACAAACCCAATACCTTTTCATTTTTAAATAAATATAATTAATAACTCAAATCAATATTATATAAAGAATTATGACAACAAATTAATGTTTAAATATTTACATAAAATTAGTGAAAGCTATAATGCCTAAATAATCTTATAAAAAAAAAATCTAATATAAATTATAATTTAACAATCAATAATAAATGTGAAAGTCGATTTACATATTTCTTAATAATAACAAGTTCTATATATCACAAAAACTGAATGAATATTTTATAATCTTATTACACTTTTTTATACATTTCTTTAATTAATTAGCAGAACATTTACAAAATTGTTTTATTTTAAGTACAAAAACTAAACTAAATTCACTAAACACACAATGAAATTATATTTATATATGTGTAAATCGAACTTAAAAATATTGTTCATATTATTTAAATTACAACATAATATATATAAGAATATACATTAACTTTACTATAATTTACACAATATAAAATATAATCGAAGACAAAGAAATCATTTATAAATAATATTTAATAAATAAAATATAAATGCATAAAAATTATCTAAAAATCTTATAAATAATTCACATATAAAAATTAAATATATATTCAAAACAAATATATATAACAGTGATGAAAAAAGATCAGAATTGAATATATCTTTTTTTATAATCGAAATTTCTTAATTAAAACAATGTAATGGAAAATATTTCTGATATTTAAATTTGTCAGTGTATAAAGTCCTAACAGTTTTTTTTAATTCATTCGTATATATGTATTTTTTCGGTTTCCACTGTAATTATTAAAAACAAATTTAATTTTTCTAACATTATTATTATTACACATCACTCAGTTATTAAATGTTGGAGACAAATTTAATACAAAATAAGCTTAGTGTTTCTCAAATGAAGCGTCTCTCCATTAACTACAATATTCTTATAAAAAAATTTAGATTCAACAATTTCCAATATTCATATGCTAATAAAGAAAGTAAATTGAGAACTAATGTCACTAATTAAATAAAAAAAATACCAAAAAACATGGAACTAGAGCACTGAAAGTTTGTGCACGATTAGTCATCGCTTCTAATTTGACAGGCACTAGTTCTAAGCCTGGTACTTGCAGTCCAAACAAATTATATACGGACTATAAACTAATTAAAAAATTCGATTATTTCCTAAGACCTCTGACGATGAGTACTTGGCAATACTCGAAACAGCGTTGTATGGTCAGCCAGATTTCAATAAATTAACTAAATTTTTGTGATTGTCCTTTCTTTCTTTGCTATTCGAAAACCCTATAAATTGAGAACTATAATCAGTACATATATTAAACATACCTTATAGTTTCGTTGTGTTTAACTGATTTATTACGTTATAAATTATTATTGTTATTTTTTATTTTCCAATTATTGTTGTTAATCATCATGACTTAAAAACTGATTTGGGAAAAAAAACAAAACAACAATTTTATCGTATTTGCATGTGATATATATTTTCTAGTTACCCGTATATTTTGTGGAATTCTGGTTTTGTTTAATTTTATTTTTCAATAATTGAAAGCGAATGTCATTATTGGACTATTAAGTGCAAAGAGTAATAGGAGTCACAACAGTAACCAAGCGTCACTTACCATGCCAGCCAAAATTTACTATTTCTCAGGAAGACAAACTAAGCAGAATTCCCCGAGGATCCTTTTCAATGTGCTGCAGGGAATAAAGGATATTGTATATAAGGTAAATATTTTTGAATACAATAAAATCTTTTAATTAGTTTTTAAGTGATGAGTGTACTTTAAATAAATACTTAGATCATATGATAATTCTTTATAAATTCTTCAAAATGATTTTTTTTTAACATTGAAAATGGTTGTATAAGGGTTCCTACAGAATTAATCAAGCTCATCGGCGCTTATTTTCTTATTATTCTCCAACTATTAGTTGACAATTTGCAAATTTTGTGAATTAACTCAATATTTTCGAAACAATACATAAAAAAAAGTTTCCTGCATAAATTAAACATTATTTTATGAAAAAATGAAAACACCATTAAATCTAAAAGAGGCTTTACGTGCACTCTGTTCCAGAAAAATCAATCGTCACCGATTGCAATGCTGTATTTAAACACCATCATGTAGGTACAAATGACACTGGTCATAAAAATGGGTTATTACTTAAGAACAAAATCTACAATAGTATTTTGTAAGACTCAAGGCGGTAAGACTCAACGTTATACACGCATCTGTATGTAAGTTGGCCGCGTTATATTAAGAAAAAATTTAGCATTCTCATTGAGATGCCATGTCAAGATATCAGTGTTCTGGTAGTTTTGTTGACGGATCACTGGCGTTTAGGGCACCATGCTAGAAGATTGAATCTCTAGTTTAATCACTTCTGTCGCAGTTGAAGGGAGGAAGTGCGTTACATATGCTTTGTGATTATTAGGTGCATATGCGGCATCAATTGACTATGCTAGGGTCTCACTTTTTCAAGAATCTTGTCAGACCTACCTTTAAAGAGTATTTTACGCTTTGAATAAAGTTTAAGGTGATTTTTGTACCTTAGGAATTTTTTTTTTGTAACACAATGGATGAATAAGCATAAGTGGACTCTTACGATCTTCGACGTAATCTTATTTAACGTCTTTAACAAAAATTTTACCTTTAATTGACTATGCAAAGTTGTTAATAGTATTTATGATACTGTGCGCTACTTAGATATATTTGATAAGAAGGATTTCTTCATGCAAAATATAATCATGAACTAAATATGGTTTAATCACCACACCCTGAAAACAAATTAGCAATCAACAATTAAAGATAAATATTTAGGAATTCTCCTGATGAAGACAAAAGCAAATTTGCCAAAAATACTAAAAATAATGATCGAAATTGAAGCTAAAATTCTTAAAAAAACAAAACCGACTTTATATATTTTTGACGTGACATCTCAAAAATTAAAAAACAAAATTAAAGATGTTACAGTTGTTCAAAGTAAGTTAGTTATGACATCAGTATTTTTAGATGTTTCTTTGAAAAGGGAAAAACCAATCAGCAAATATTATATAGATTCATGGATGTATTCGAGGGATAAGTGATTCCTGAAAGAGATCACTAAAAAAAATTTTGTCCTAGGCTCATGTTATGCACATCAAAATCAAAATTGTTGCTTTTAATGTAAATTAAAAAACTAAGAGTTTGAAAAATAAATGCATTGTCACTCAGTCAGAATTGTTGTATGTATGTATATATTTCCACTAAAATTTACCCATAAAAAAAAGTAATAGTAAAAATACGAAATTGGTAAACTGATGTGATAATCCGCATAACATGGATTTTCGTCATTGCCCGAAAGAGTCAATTTTGATGTGCCCGTAACACTTTACATAACATAGGCCTTAATGCTACGTAAATCCAGAAGAGAACTAAAAGCTTTTACAAGGTAGACGGATTCGATTAGCAAAGAAAAGACAAGGACAAAAATCTTATTTAATTTATTGAAATTTGACTAACCATATAACGTTGTTTCGAGCATACATAGTACTCATCATCAGTGGTCTTAGGACATATTCGAATTTTTTGATTAGTTTACAGTCCATTTACACCGATAGTTTATAGGATTTCCACACGCACAGGACATTATGGTATAGAATTAAAGTACATTTTAATCTACAGCTAAAATCTGACATTTACCATGTTTACATACAACTAAAAATCGGTTTAAATAGTTAAAAATACAATATAAACACATTTTAAAATTAGTTTTAATTCAAAACAATTTCATTCTTAAAACCAAATATCTAGTATTATATTAAGAATTTATAATAGCGCTTTCTCACATTTCACTTCTATATAAAAGTTAAAATTACCATCCCATTCGCTACAAAAATCCTGCAATGAAAATTATTGTCAGGTTATAATTTATACAAAATCAAGTTAAAATAAAATTCAAAATTTTGAATAATGAGTAAACACTACATTCTTTCAGCATTTCATTATCTTTCAAAAAAGTGTCATATCTATATACAAAATGTTATATCGATAATAATATACCGATAGATGAGTGAGTGGTATATCATTTTGTGTGTACATCAAAGTAGGCCTCATTTTATTTTATTTAAATAGAAAAGTGAAAATTGTGTAGCATAATAAATTTTTTTAATTCAGTTTGATATTGTCAGAGATAGAAATACTATTCAAAATGTCTGAACATTCAGAAGAGCATATCTTAAATGAACCAAAAGCTGAATTTCAGCAGCCAAGGATTAATGAAGTTGCTCAGAAATTTTTGGCCGATTTGGAAGAAGAGCGTCAACGTTTGGGTGAATCTTTTCCTTTGTGCAAACTTTTAATTGATGAAAGTAAGTTTATATTTAAACAAATAATAATATTTTGTGACAGGTAATAATAATCACATGTTCTTCAAATTGTTTGACCTAAATAATACATGTTGAGAAAAACTGAAATAAAATATTTTCTTCAGACGAGGTAATATCAACAGATATTTAAATTCTGTTTAATGCTCCTAATAAATCATTTCCATTTTTCACAAATTATATATTAATATATTAATAATTTAGTTATTCAAAATGTGTTGCTTGATAATAATTTGTCAATTTATTTTTAGCGTTTGATAAAGTTTTTTCCACTGGTCGAATACCTGGTAAGGAATACTATGCAGATGTGTACAAGCAAAAGCCAATAAAAATAAGTCAAAAAGTATTTGTTCCGGTTAAACAATACCCAAAGGTAACATTTTAATAACTAGTCAGATCGTATCATTGTCTAAATATAAATGCTTTCGGTTTTTATAGTTCAATTTCAGTGGAAAGATTTTGGGTCCAAAAGGAAATTCTTTAAGACGCCTGCAGGAAGAGACTCAATGTAAAATTGCCATTAAAGGTCGTAATTCTATGCGTGATCGAAATAAGGAAGAAGAAATGCGCGCTTCAGGCGATCCCAGATTTTCTCATTTAAATAGGGATTTGTTTCTTGAGATCTCCACCCTTTCAAGTCCTGCAGAAGCTTACGCACGCATTGCATATGCTCTAGCTGAAGTTCGTAAATATATTGTTCCAGATAAGAATGATGAAGTATCTCATGAACAATTTCGGGAACTTATGGAGATCGATCCACAATCAGTTAAGCAGCTGAATGGATCCCACCCGTATATTAACAAGTAATTTTATTTATAATATTTAAAATAGTAATCTATACAAAAAAACAAACTATAAATTTTTCTTCAATTAGATCTGTTCTTGAGAAAAAAATTTCAGGCGGGTCTACTGGTGTGTCTAAGTATATGAATCTCATACGTAACATTTCATATGATCAAATGGATCCAGAGTGAGTTTTATTTCAAAAACAGTAATTTAGTGCTAAGATATAGTATATTTGAATGTTTTTACAAAATACTTTTAGAGCTGAAGTTGTAGCACAATCAACTTACAATCCGCGTTTTGCAAATCGCCAAGCTCAGCCAGCTTATGGTTACGCAAAAGGTATGTTAATGCCTATTGAAAAATTTTTCTATTTAAATATTAAGTTGGCTGGAACCTAAGAATAGTTTAAAAATACTAGTAACATCATATCCAAATTTTAAGCCAAACTAATAGTTATCTGTCGAATTATGAGTAACAAAAAATTTATTTTATAGATAGGGCAACAGCACCAGCAGGCTACAAGCGTCAACTAGTGGGTCCATATACCACAGATGCAAAACGATTCCGTGAAGGTCCCATAAAAGCTTTTAAGCCCCATTCTTATTCTATTTTAAATAAATATAAATAATCACAAATAAATATTACTGAATAATACTATGACCGCCACAAACAATTCAAAATTTCTAAAAATTACAATTAGTTACATATAATTTGTTAAACCTTATAAATTAATATTTTAAAACTAATAATATCTGTAAAAGTTGATTTACATGTTCTAAATAATAACATTTTAAATATCTCACGAAATACGAAAGAAATCTTTATAGTTTCTTCATTTTTTATTTTGCATTAAGTTGTACTTAATTGTAAAAACATTCAAATAATCATTTCACTTTAATTTCAAAAATAATAACTACTTGACAAAATGATAAATTTCTTTAAAATTAAACATGTAAATCGAACTTCAATTTATTATACGATTTTTTCAATTAAAATTTATAAGAAGATAATCTATAATAATATCATATATAATATATAAGAATATACCTTCATTTACCATAACTTACCCAATATAATTTAATCCATAATAAGTAAATCATTTATAAATCAAATTTTATAAATAAAAAAGAAATTAATAAAAATTATTAAAAATGTAATAAATATTCTATATAAAAGCAAAAAATAATTATAAAACTGTTAAAAACAGATAAAAGGTTTTGAATTGAGCACATCTTCCTAAATGATTAAGGCTGGTTACGTTTTGATTTGTGCGAACAATGCTTATTTTTTTTAAATTCTACGTTATAAATATTTCACACATATAAATTAAATAATTAAAAAAAATAGTTTAGAATTGGCCACATCACCCCTTAGGTTTGAAGCCTTGTTCCATATCCGCTATTATGAAAACTGTTCCCTGGAATTTTATGTGTGCAAACAATGCTTTTTATTTACTGGTAGTATACAAACCATTCTCTGATATTTTATGTCTGTGAAGATAATACCTATCCATTCCTTTTTTAAAAATTAGATTGTATTTACCAATATAGATGTCTTCGTTTCTAACTAAATTAGTTATTACCTACTGAAACAATCGCTTCGTTAATGTCCAGTGCATGAGTGGCGGCGATTACCTATTTTAAGGTCTTTTTTTTACTTTTGGTTTTTAATTTTCTGAATCTTTTACGGTAACACAATGGGTCAATAGACCATAGACCTAAGCGTGGGTCCTTAGAATTACCGGTATAATCTAACCTAACCTACTGAAACAAAAATTAAATATTACTTGTCTCATGATTCTGTAACTCGGAACAATACTTACAACATTAGATAAAAATATATGTTATGTTACACGTTTTTGGAATAATGAAATTTTTCTAATCCATTTGCAACATTTTAAGAGTCCATTGTAACATAAAAAAATAAAAGACTAATTTTATTTTTATAGTATATTGTATAAACAATTAGAAAAAAAACTAAAAACTTTGTATTAAACAGTATATTAGCTTAGGAGACATAATACAATATTACTCTATAAAATAGATCTTATAGTTCGGGTGTATCATCCGTATTAATAATTAAATAAAATGCTGTGTAGTATTGTATAATGTAAATATTATATAAGGTTTAAGTTTTAGTATATGAATCTGTTATTATTACTTAAATATTTTATTTCACATCAAACTTTAAATGGCTAATCAAATGATATGGATATTCTAACTTGTCATTACTGGTAAGGAACTCTATATACTCTAACAAGTACCAAATATTTTCACAGATCTTGGATATAAGGTAATTATTTTTGAACTCAAATTTAACTTACAATTATGTAGTAACTTATTTTCAATAAATCTTCAAATCATAACGCATTGTGTTTCAATTAAAAAAAGTTTGTGAATGAGTGTACTACGTATACCACTATTTCTAATATTGAAATGTTTTCATAACTGAATCGGTTGCTGAATTAATCAAAAGAACTATTATAAATAATAGATTTGTAAGCAACTCCAAGGCTAAACTCAAAAGGGCCCTTTGAGTTACAGACAATTTCTTTTCGTGATCACTTGATATGACACCATGCGACTTTCAATTTTTCGGAAAAACACATTTGCCGATGAGAGGAAATCATTTTATGGATGTAAGACCCATATAAAACGTTTATATTCACATCCTGAAAGATATCCATGGATAATATATAAACGTTATATAGACTTTATTAAACACCGCATTAAATCAAAAGGCGATTTCAATGTTTAAAATATGTTATATTTGCTATCTCGTCTCCCATGATAGATCCATACATAAAAAAAACCATAAACCATAAAACATCTAGGGATCTGGATGGCTTTAGTTTCGCTGATATGCGATATGGGAAACTTTTAAAAATTTGTTCCTACCCTGGATATTTCCCTTAATTGTTGCGTATTAACAGTTGTTGCAGGTATGACTGGAGTAAACATGATGCAGATGCGGATGTATTGGTAAGGCCATCAGATATTGTTGAAGTTTTTCGCTTTGCTCCCCAGTAATGTAATGCTTGTCGACTTGTCCAGATACGTTGAGCCGACATGCGTGTGCTCATAATCTGAACAGGCCACACTCTCTGGAAAATGAAAAGAATTTCGAGTGTTTCAGCACTACAGTTGGTCCAGTCGACATAAGGAACATGAATACAGTGGATTGTCTAATGGCAACTCTTTATATGGACCAAGTTCCTGCAGTTTTAACTTCATTAATGATTTTTGTGCACGTTTTGCAAAGGTCTGCAATTGTTGCCAAATCAAGATCGAATGTTAAATATCTCATGTCCGGAAAGAAACAGTCCTGTGATACCGACAGGTTCATTGACATATGTGAGAAGTGCTCGCCAAGAAGGGTGACGTTTTAGAATTATCAAATTACGTGCAAGAACGAAATCAAGAGAACAGTCATCTCGCTAATTGGTGTTGGTGATGTCCACATGATTCGAATTTTTTGCTGTTAGCCTACTTTATCAGACTTTTATGGAGTCCTGTGATGTTGAAGCACGGTAACTTTATATCACATATATTGAGGCAGTTCATAGACTCTTTGTGTTGTACCCAAAAACCAGCTAAATTTCCTTAATTTCGTTAAAATAAAATTAAGCTAGTTTGGAAAGTGTTCATACTGCCTCAAATTAAAGAAATCATATGTTTTTGCTATACAAATCGAAGGTTAAAAATTACATGCTCAAAACACCATTTGTATCTGCGAAATTTTAAAAAATGATTATTATAACTATAAAGGTTGGAATTTAGTAGTATTAGTGGATTTCAGGTATGTGGGCTATTATTTGATGATTTTTGTTCATCAACGTATTAAATTAAGAGTTTGTCAGTTTCTCAACCAAAGAAATTAACAAATCGCAATCCATTTCCTAAAACTAACATATTTTCATATATATTTCCATTTATAAATTTAAAATTACATGAAAAAAACACACATCTTTTAATTTCATTATTTTCACCATCGATTTCCCACGAATGAATCAATTTCAGACAAAATATTTTAATCAAATGTTCGCACGAAGGAGACAACACATCGTGCGAATAGTTTTCAGCAACTGTAATCACTCACATATAATTACGTACATTTGATTTGTTCGTACAAAAACGCAACAAAAATTCGCATGCAATGTAATCGCAGCCTAAGTACTCTTAGTAGTCTGCTCCACGAGCTACTCATAGTAAAACTCAAGTAAAGTACAAACTGAGAGCGTAATATAAGTAAAGTGTCAAATTACGCTCTTTACACAGATTTTCATGGAACAGCTTTATGCACAACCGCTGATTCATACATCAACACAAATTTTTATTTACTTAATTTGTTGGTATATACACAGTGTTACTCAAACTCGTGGAACAGAGCTGGTATTAGAAAACAAAGTCGAGAACATTATTTTGTATACTATAATGATAAATGTGAAAAATGATTTTTGACAGTAATTACGTCTGTTTGATCGTGATGATTGGATACGTTCACTGTTTTATTCTTTGTAAATTAAGGTATGTTCCGAGAGTTATTATAAATATTAAGTTATTATGAAACTGTGACAACAACTGCATTTCATTTGTTAAAATCCATATTGTAATGAATGCCATTGATTAAATTTACATATAATACTTATATATATATATATATTATCATTTATTTATTACTTTTTGTAATAAGTGTTACATCTAAGTACTTTATTTAAACTTCGATAAATAAATGACGTATCTTCATCGCAGCTAATAATTTGTGTGTATCTCATATTGATGTGGTTGGCATTATTCGCTTTATTGATTGAAGTAGAGAATTGAAAATTAAATTGTGAATTTATATTTTTACTTATAATCACCTACATTATAAAAAATAACATCAAATAAAAATGTCTGAACATTCGGAAGAACACGTAATGAATGAACCAAAAGCCACTGATCATCAACAACCAAAAATTAATGAGATTGCTCAAAAATTCCTAGCTGATTTGGAGGAAGAACGTGATCGCCTAGAAGAATCCTTTCCTCTATGTAAATTATTAATTGATGAAGGTAATTTAAACTGTTCACAATTATATAAGTCTAAAGTTGATAATATTGCATAATATGTGCTTTTTTATTACAATAATTTCACCTGAAGAACTGGTTTTCTTGATATACATTTTAGTTTTTGGTATCTATTCATATAAAATTAAGCCGTAGATAATGAAAAATTATATGAAAAAACATTTTGTTTTTTGTTTTATTGACTTAATGGATGAGTATATTGATGATTTGTTTGTTTTTGTATTAATGATTTAGCTTTCAATAAAATTTATTCAACTGGCCGCATTCCTGGTAAAGAATACTATGCAGACGTCTACAAGCAAAAACCGCTTAAAATTAGTCAAAAAGTCTTTGTACCAGTAAAACAATACCCAAAGGTAAAAATGATGTGCCATAAACAATATAAATGTACTCATTAAAATTTTAAATTAATTTAAAAAACAGTTTAATTTTACTGGAAAAATTTTGGGACCAAAGGGAAATTCTTTAAGACGCCTGCAAGAAGAAACGCAATGTAAAATTGCAATTAAAGGTCGCAATTCAATGCGCGATCGCAATAAGGAAGAGGAAATGCGTAGCTCAGGTGATCCTAGATATTCTCATTTGAATAAAGATCTATTTCTCGAAATATCTACTGTTTCGAGTCCTGCTGAAAGTTATGCACGTATTGCATATGCTCTTGCAGAAATACGTAAATATATAGTTCCAGATAAGAACGATGAAGTTTCTCATGAACAATTTCGAGAACTGATGGAAATCGATCCTCAGTCAGTTAAACAACTAAATGGTTCTCATCCATATATCAACAAGTAATTTACCAAAATTAATATAAAAAAAACAAATATTAAATATTTTTTCAATTAGATCTGTTCTAGAAAAAAAACTATCAGGTGGGCCGTCAGGTTTATCTAAGTACATGAATCTTATTCGAAATATTTCCTATGATCAAATGGAACCCGAGTAAGTTGTTTTTAATTTTAAATATTAAATATCATATTTTTATAAAATTATAATAATTTTAGAATGGAAGAACCAGTAGAAGCAAGCTATAATCCACGTGCTCCAAACCGTCAAAACCAATCTGTTTATGGGTATGCTAAAGGTATGTTATATTCAGAAACTATAACTACAATAGTTATAATTAAAATGATAATTAAAAACTTTTTTTGTAGCAAGGACAGCAATGCCAACAGGCTTCAAACGTCAATTGGTTGGACCCTACGCTACAGATACAAAACGTTTACGTGAAGCTCCTATAAAACCTTTTAAACCCAGTTCTTATTCTATTTTAAATAAATATAAATAATCGAAAAATATAATATTGCAAAAAGTGTAATGACAACCACAAAAAAATTTCAAACATTTTTATAATATCAATAAGTTGCAACTATAAATCCTATAAATAATGATTTAATAACTAATAATACATGTAAAAGTCGATTTACATATTTTAAATATTGCAAATATTATATATAACTTAGTTCAGTCAGGTAATTATATAAAACTTTTTATTTTTTTCTTAAGTTTTGCATTAATAAGATTTCAGAAAAATATTCTGCTTCATAATGAGACAGTATGGCAGTATTTAACTACACAAATGTAGATCGAACTTAAAATTATCTATATTCTTTTAATCACATTATATAATATATATATAAATAACCTTACATTTAATATAATTTACCCAACAAACTTGATTTATAAAATTTATTAAACATATAAATATTCAACAAATAAAATGAAAATGCATAAAAAAGCTTTATAAACATTCTATATACATAAATATAAAATATATATAACATAGATGAAAAATTTGGTATTAAATACGTTTCTTTTGAGACTGTTTTTACCTATAATGTGGAATGAACTTTATTTTTTTATACTTTTAAAATGAGATTTATATATATATATATTTATTTATTTTGTATTAAAATTTATTTTTATAAATAATTAATATTGAGATCGTTATTTGAACATTATTACATATTAATATGACTTTTTAAAAAGCAGTAGCTAATGGACAACTTATTTTATTTTTGTTGGTGTGGAATTCCCTCAATATTCAACAAGGTAAGCAAAAGGTAATGTTTTTTATATAGTTCTATACAAATATATAATAACTTATTTAATTGCAAATTAATGAACTAATTCAATAAATTTCGTATACATAATATTGTTGTTTCATTAGAAGTTTGTTATTGCGTCTATGGTTTAACTAGTTTTCGTAAAGAGTAGGAAACTAAATATTTTGGTCTTAAACGTTTGCATTGAAACTTTTAAGAGAATGATAAATGCATAGGACTTGTCTTTTATGGTAATATGCCACAGAAACTGTTTATCCTAAAAGAGTACAATTAGGTAATCTAAACGAAGTTTTTCCCTGCATGCCATACAAACGGTCTTTCTGATTGAACAACAGTAGGAATAAACGGATATAACATCTATACACGTTACATCTGTTTATTCATATCACAACGAAATTAACATCCATCGAATGTCAATTCTTTTTATGTCGAATCAATGCGTTTCGTGACCACGTTTTCATTGTGGGACGGTTTTCAATAAGCCTACGTCTAAAATGTAAAAGATTTCCCTATGAAGTAAGAAATATATGGTTCACTTGAGGTGACGAAATAGCTATATACTAAACATTCACTTACATTACGTCTATAGCCAGTTCACATCACAACTGTAGTTTTAGTTCTCATAATTTCTCTTATCTGTTTCCATGTTCAATCACATGAAATCAAAGTATGGTTTTAACTCATCGCAATGGCAAAGATTTGTCTTTTCAACGTAGGCTAGTTTCAATAACCAAATTTCGTTCAACTTTTTTTCTTTTTCATCATCATCTGCACAAATCATATTACTCCTCGTATTTGTTGCGCAATTCACTCATGTTTTGAATCCACACGTCTATTACGGTTGCGACTACATTTCGGATTCATTCATCAGCTCTGACGACCAAGTACCGCTTATATAGGCTGCGGGATAGAACAACATTTAAATTAAGCTAGCTTGTCTCTTTTAAATTTATCCTAACTCTTCAGGCATATTGGAGATATTTACATTATCGTTATTTAGAAAAAAATTCTCATCTTAAAAAATTCATAAAGATTATAAAACCAATCTCAATTCACTTGACGTGCTGAACTTGGTGTAAATCTATGGTTTAAAATGCAACTAAGGATTAAGGGGAAATTATAGGCTAACTACAACAAAAATTTACCAAAATAAGAATTAATAAAAAACTGCACTTAAAAATATAAAATATGTCTTTAAAAATTGTGTGTACAATAGTTTTAAACTATATAACTTAAATTATATAAATATCAGACATGGTACATTTTTTACACTATAATCATTTTTATGGTAGGTAATTTGTATGAGACAATAACATTATTACAATGTTAGCTTATATGTGTTATGAATTACTGGGTACACTAACATTTCGTGTACCCAGCAATTATATTCATTGTAAATTACTTTTACACACGAATGATTACATTTAGCTACAAAAATGTCAATTTTATTAAAATTATTTAAGTATTAGATTCATGCACATTTTACTCGGGTATAGTACTTAAGGTTGATACGGTATATGAGAATACCCACCACACTCATTCAGTACTGTACTAGATTATGTTACGGTCAAAAATCGCCACATACCGCAACAAGTACAATTATCCATGGTACATAGCAGTCATTTTAGTGATGAGTGAGAGAAGAGAATGAAAAATTAACATTAAAATAAATTTGTCAATTTTTTATAAGATTATTAAAAATATTATCTAATAAAACTGAGAAGTATTTTGTTAATGCATGAAGTGCATTGCACTAAAAACTGATAAGCACTGTGAGTATCACACCGCTTATACTTTGCTGTTACTGAAATGCGCAAAGGTCTTGAATACGATAAAGATATATTATGGCGTCAATGCAGAACACTCGTTGGTGACTGACAAAAATGGAGATAGCCCTCTACTTTTCTATATAGCAACAAACATTATTACAAAAAGCTAGTTATTTGCATGGAAATTTTTATTAAATTATAATAATTTTCACTATCATTTTTAATTATTTTTGAGCGATATGTTAAGTAATTGTTTAGTATTTACTCAGAGGCAAGTAAATCTTATAGATGTCTAATAGTATGTTCCCATTCCCTTTATTAAGGCAGTTTATTTGATGAAGATAACTAATAAAGTTATTTAACCGTACAAGAGCGTGATTAAGGTCACTAATGAACTTGATTAACCGTACAAGAGCGTGCTTTTCAACTTAGTATAAAATAAATTAAGGGAAATTGCAACAAAAATGACGAATGCAATATTATAAAATATATTTCCCGAAAAAGAACTTATCGAAATTTGACAGATGAAATTAACCTAACGGATCAGGTTACGTTATGTTAATCTGGCTAGCTATAAAGTCATACAAAGGCATATTAGATCCTTCGGATAGAGTTAAACATTTACACATTGTAGTAGACATTTAAACAAATTTAAAGAGTGTTTGAAGCTTTATTTCTGAGACAGTGGCACTAAACATTTTTCAAAGATTTTTTTTTAAATCTTGAACAATTTTAAGCATAAAGTTTGTTCATAAGTATTGAAAAGTTCTTTAAAGCATAAAAGTGCATTCTCTTGCATATATTAACTGAGAGAGTAAGTGGGAATTTAATAACATTTTGTTCATTTTTTGAGTATTAAAATATATAACTGTGTATTATCTGTCACAAAAGCTGTGTTGAAAGTTATCTCTCTTCGTAACAAAATCAAGTTTAAATTATAAATCCGTTTTGCAATCAAAACTCTACAGATGTTATTTTATTTGAATTGTCATTTGTATAAAATCTAATTTAAATTAAATTCGTAATTCACAATAATACAATCTTACACCAATATTGTATATAATTCGCAATATAGATTACGAATTGCGATTTACGAACGCAACTACAAAAATAATTATGAAAATAAAATAATTATAATAAAATGCTGTATGAATATGTTTTTAAAAGAGAAACTTGAATGAAGTCAGTTACAATTACTTGCGCTGTGTGAATAGGCACAAAAATCTAACCATTTTTACCAAAAATTTTGCACTGACTTAGACTTTTATAAGATTTAGCTAATACTAATTATATTGAAAAATGCATTTACTCAAAATTTTTTGAACGCTTCTATTAATTATATCATTTTTTTCAGTGTTTTAGTATATAAAATTAATGAAATGCTTAACAGCTCTATCTAATTAGTGATGATATTAAAAATTTAAATTTTAAAAATACTGCATCATGTATATATTATACATATATATTTTTTTTTCTTTTTTGAAACGAGCGAATTTTGAAGATTACTATAGAATATAGTAGCTATATTGCTTTAAATAATATCTAATTTTTTTTTATTTATTATTAATTAGTTTTTAGCTAAATTTACTAGATATATTGTTTTAAATAAAATCTGATATTTTTGTTACTTTTTATTAATTGGTTTTTAGCTAATATTTAGCTAAAAGCTAATTATTTTTAAGTTGACTATAGAATATCGAAATATTGTTTTAAATAAAATGTAATTTTTTGTTACTTTTTATTAATTAGTTTATATCTAATATTTAGCTTAAAGCTAATATTTTTGAAGTTGACTGTAGAAAATAGTCGAAATATTGTTTTAAATAATTATAATTTTTAAAAATAATTTAAAAAGCCTGTTAAATAATTATAACATCTTAACGTTTGAAATAATTTAAAATAAATTCAATTTTTAAATAAAATAAGTAATTTAATGTACGTATGTACAACTTGCAAAAAAAGGAACAATTTACTACGTTTAGGTTTAAACACCAACACTGAAAATACGCCGACGTTCGTTGTCCTCCTTTCACCACTATCGAATGTTTCTGAATACATTTGCCTGGAGTTAGCCGTCGTTTGTGCAGGAAAAATCGAATCGGTGGAGAGGAAATATTTTATTAAAGTGCAAATTTTTCTTGCTTTAGTTTAACTGTAATATTTTTAATAAGGTAAAGTTTTTGACTGTGTAAAGAAAGTAACTTTATTGAGATTTTCTAACATCTATTATTAAACAATATTCTGGTGCAAGCAGTGAAAAAAGTTATACGTACGTGTATGTACATATAATGAAAAGCGTGTATTAATAAAAAAGTGAAAGTGCAGGATAATTGAAACTATGTGTAGAGATCTATGAAATTAAAAAAGAAATCAAATATCAGATACACACATTTACGTATATTAACTAGTTACACTAAAGCTGTGAAACGTCCGTCTGCTGATTTTTGTAACTCAACAATTCGCACTCATGCATACATATAAATGCAACAACACAACAC